GCCGGTCCGATAGCCGGACGTTGCAATAAATATGGGAGAGAGTAAATATCGTTTTGTTGTGAAATTTACCGGAATTTCATGTGGGCGAATTTATTTGTTTCACTTCGTGATCGGTGTGGCAGGCTCGACGCGATGCGTTAATATTACTTCGACTCGCGTTTGCCTCAGTTGAACTTCTGTTGTTTGAATGATGATTTTGTAATTAGTTGAGCTTACGGGATAGGAATCTAGGTAAATGATAGTAGAGTAGGAAAAGGAATTTTATTGAACTAGGAATAGATGTGTGAAGTGCTCAGAATAATGGTCTATTTCTTAGTTATCCAGAGAAAGCTTTTGGAAAATGATCTTGAATTAATTAAACACTAATAACGCAACTACTGATATTAATGATAGTTATATGTAATAGTAATCAGTAATAATTAATAATAGTTATTAGTATTAATTAACTCTATTTATTAAAAAGTTCTACTAATAAAGAATATTTCGTAATAATTAATAATAATTACTAATAATAAATATCGATTAACAATACTTAAGACATTAAGCGCCATGTCAGTCACTGGTGACTGACGCTTCTAAATGACTGGAAAACAATCGTGACATACAAGATAATTTAATAACGTAACCAAGTTGATAATAGTGTAATGCAAACATTGTAACGCCAAATAATTAATAATCGTACCTGCTTTTCTTTGCTACAAAAGATATACTCTACAAGGAAACGCTTAAAATTTTCGTGGCGCTTAACGTGTTAATGACATAACTCAGAGACTTTAGTTACTATTACTCTAAGCCACACAACTTATCGTTTCCATTCCCTCCGCAAGTGTACCTAAATAAAAATAACAATTCCACACCCCACCCGAACTTTCAATTAACTTTTATACTCACGGCACAATAATTACCCAAACTATAAAATAATCCCCCTCGTTACACAAGTACGGGCACAAATAATTCGTTTCCAAGAGTCATAGATACAGATTCCCCCGAAAGATTTCCGGAAGGTCCGAGGCTCGTCTTGAACAAGCAGACCGGTCCCCTTGGAAACATGAGGGTAGATTCAGATTTCCGATATTATTTACTTTGCACCCTCCAGTTGCTGGTGCTGCGAACAGGACAAACACAGGGCGGATTGGACGGCTGGGGAGTGCGGGTGAGTCTCCCTAAAGACCAATTCACCTATAATAAACCCCGACGATTACCGGGCGAAATTACTTTTCCTCAAAGATCTTCCAGTGTCGTTTGATGTTGTCGCGCGGCAGCCATCGCAGAAATTTCTCGTGGAACTTGATGCAATCGCGAGTTCCACGTCGAAAAGTTGGACGTGGAACTTGTGGAACCGAAGTCGTGCTGTTGCGTCTCGCGTCGCCGCACCGTTTCCGCCCGACGCGATCTCTGTTTTTCGTGGCTGGCTTCGCGTGCCTTCGTGTTACCGTAATGGGAATACCTAGACGGATCTCCCCCGACCTCAAGGCGCAAAGGGAACTGGTAATAGCAAAAATCAGTGATTTGGAAAATGAGAAATCGGATGGCGGGCCTGATGCATCGTCGAATAATGATGAGAGTCTTGTGTTACCTGTGCGTATCGCAACGGCTCGATACGTAATTTCTCTATCGTCGTGTAATTTTTTAGTCCAGTTTCCATCCGTCGTTGGAATTTTTCTTTGAAAAGAAGTTGGGAATGTTTGGTGCACCGTGGAAATGAGATTATTGGAAAAATCGATTTGTCAGACGGTTTCTAAAAATGAGGGTTGGTTCTCGTAATGTGTAATATGCTTACCCTTTTCCATTTCTTTTTTTTCACATTTTCTCAGTCGAGTGATATTTTTTAGTAGTTTTGTAGGTTGAGATATGTCTTATTATGGTTCATAGAGTTTGAAATACAAAAAGATAGATTTACTGTAACTAGGTGAGAATAAATATACTGAATTTTTACCAAATCGAACACCGAATGAACTATTTATTCCAAAATACCTGTGGCCTTACATTTCATTTAGTTTCATTCACTTTCTACTTAACACGTTAAGCGCCACGAAAATCTTAAGCGATTTCCTGTAGAGTTTTTCTTTTGTAGCAAAGAAAAGCAGGAACAATTATTATTTATTTGGCGTTTCATTGTTTGGCGTTTCAATCTTTACACTCGAGAGGTGACTCTCACTCACCACTTGATTTCATACAGTAAAATTATAAAATTCAATATTAAACTCAATATTAAACTTCGTATAATGCATCAATTTGAGAAATATTCAAACAAAATAGCTTCGTCCCTCAATGTAAGTGTGCTTTCTCGTCTAGTGTCACAAAATATCCTCTCTATATCATCAGAAAATGTTAAAATATTCCCAATGAAGAACTTCCGAGTGCAAAGGGTTAAACACTTTTATTTCACATCGGTTACCTTGTATGTTACGATTGCTTTCTAGTCATTCAGAAGCGTCAGTCACCAGTGACTGATATGACGCTTAACATATTAAAAATATAGTACCTACGTCATAACTTGTCATACTATTCTTCAGTTCAATTCAATGGAGCGTTGTTCACGTTTTACCCATTGAAGTTTTTAAAGAAACATGATCGAAAAAAGCCGAACAGCGCAATAGCGTTTCTTTTATTTCATGTCGAGAAAAGCGAAGCAGCGCGACAGCGCTTGTCTTAATTTATGTTAATATTATTATATACATATATTAATTTATAATAGGTAACAACGAAACGCAGAATGTATTAATTGGATCACTTATATACAAAGAAAGTAGCGATGCGACGTACGCATGCGTCTGAAAAGTTCAGTGCGTTTCGTCACATTGTGAGCGCGCCGTCAGTTGTCCGTATCGTTCAAATGCGCTGGGTTTTTTCGACATGAAATCTGAAGAGCGCGAAAGCGGCGCGTGGGACTCAAACGGCTAATAACAACAAAAAGAAACGAACAGAAGTGTCTTCATCGCTAATGTCACACGGCCAGTCGTAGTCGTCCAACCAAAATTCACGGTTCACCGCGCGAAACATTGTCAAAGGCGGAAAAATTCGACCTTCGAGGATTTTTAGCGAATGCAGCACACCTCTTTCGCCATGTCCCAACCCTTTTAAAATTATACCGGCACAAAAGCGGACACGGGGCGGCGGCGGGGATGAAAATAAACTGTAACTGCAAATGCGGCCCGGCGCGCGCGAACCCAGGATTTTGAAAAGGACGACGGGACGTGCTGAGCGTGCAAAGCAGCGCCCGTCGACGGGGAAACACCGCGGATCCTCGAAAGAACGAAAAGATTTCAAATGTACGCGTATCAAATTTTATCGGGCGGCACCTCTTGCTCTCTGTGACTCTCGCGTAACCGGGAGTAAAAAGTGAACCAGTGGTTCTTAACACGTTGGCTGCCACGAAAAACTTCAGAGTTTTATGTATCGTTTTTTCTTTTGTAGCAAAGATAAAAAGGAACGATCACTTCTTTTTGAACGATCACTATTTATGTACTCTATTGAACATTGTCATTCAACGTCAGTTGTCTGACAAATTATAATTGTTTTCAAATAATTTGGAAGCTCCGGTCATCGGTGACCATCGTGGCAGTCAACGTGTTAACACTAGGTTTACGAACATTTGTGGTACAATTTATTCTATTGTACCTAGAAGGAAAGATGTTCACTCAGATCTTGAAGGTTCGGAATTAGATGTTTAGCCCTTTGTACTCGAGATGCGATTCAGTCGCTATATGATTTGATAGAGCAACGTTATAAATTTCGGTATTTATCATTAACCTTTGTATACTCTATCAATACATGAAATATTGAAAGAAAATAGCTTTGTCCCGTAATTAATGTGTGATTTATTAATAAAGTAATTTGAAAAAAAGCTTGTCTGCATCCAATTAGAAAATATTGAATATTTCTAGTGAAAATGTTTCGAGTGCAAAGGGTTAACACTATAATCACTTGTCTTAAGCTATCAATTGGCTCATATTTTAGTTTAGAATCACTAAATCAGCTTCTATAATAATTTCTCAAAGAACTGTACCTCTCCAATAATTGTAAAGGATGAAATCTAAAATCTAATTCTAATTCCATAAATGGACGATTGAATTGTATAAACGTCTACTAAATAATGCTTTGGACTTCTAATGCCTAATTACCTTGAAAAATGTTGAGAACTATAAATATCCCTATGTTTTCGATCAAGGAGTGTACGTATGTAGTTATGCATGTATATTTAGTATACACTATCTGATTCAAATCTTGGGGGCAGGAAAAAATTATTTGCAAGGGGGTCACTGGTAAGCAAGAAGTTAAGAACCACTGAGCTAGACGAAGAGTCTCGTGGAGGGAACCAAGGCGGTGTAAACGATATGTAAACTCGCGAATGAAAGAAGGGTTGCGCCAGGCTGGTTCGAGGGAGAACGACAGCACCGAGACGCGATAAAAGAACGATTACTCGGGGATGGAATGGCCCTCTGCTCGAGAAACTGCGAAGAAGGGGGAAACCCACGTTGCGAATAGTTTAGGGTAAACTTCGGGGGAGGATGTAAAAGGCTACGGCTGGCTGGCTGGCTAGCTAGGATTCTACACAGGCTTCGGGAACGGTGTTAAACTGATACCCGTAGCACACCGAGTTTTCACCTAGATAAAAGTTTTCCGAAACGCTCAAGATCACTTGAACGTCGAGGCTATGTGTTAGGGGGACCAGAAAAACACCCACTACTTTTTATGACTGAACGCTGGAACTACCGTGCAATCAAACTGACATTTTAACATTTCTGTAGAAACTCTAAGAATGCATCCATTGAGACTTCAATTAGTTTACAATTCACTTTGCGTAGTGCTACATCAATTTCTTTACAGATTAAAATCAAGATGAAATCGAAGTATTCGGTGTTTGAAATTCATTCTCTTTTATTGTAGTGTTTAGCATATTTTTTATTATCAATAGATTATTTATTATGTTCCTTATATTAAAGTTTACTATTTTTTATGGTTTTGTACAAAATATAAATAAAGGTTATTTGTTACAGTTCCCAACCACCCTATTGGTCAAACTTCTAGCGATGATAGATTTTCTCCGGACATGACTGGTGGTAGTGATTTTCTTGATAGGTAAATACATTATCTATAATCTATAAATAATTTATTTATTTATTGAATGTAATTAATAACGAATATTTTTTTTGTTATATACAGTTATACACATAAACATTGATCGATACAGAAATTCTATAACTCTTGCATTCACATTTAAAGGCAATACATTTACACCACTTATACATTTTCAAAAACATTTTCATAAAATGAATAAACGTATAAATTACTACATAAATTTAAATAGGGATTGAATATAATTTCTGATTTCACCGCCAAAACCTACGATTCGCGACAGTTTACAAATGGATGCCGGGTGTGGTGTCAAATGACACGGGCTTTCTGTTAAAATTAAATGTTTTGATAAATTATTTATAATTATGAAGCTACTCTTGTACCTAGTATTGTTGCAAAATACATGTATTTTTGTACGTGCCATAAATAGTGTCAAAAATGTTACTAATGTTACAGAGACAAGGTGATCATTCTTTGTTGTGAACACAGTGAGGTTATAAAAGCATACCGCGTTTTATACATTAATGCATTTATAAAAGTATAGATAGCAATAGTGAGATAAAACTCGACCTAAAACAGTTTATTCATATTTATTTCAGTTTTAAAACATGTCCATTCGTT